CCATCCAACAGTGTGCTGTTGCTAGTGGTAGGACAAATAGGATTTTAGGTTGTATCTACAGAAATATTGAATACAAGTCTAAAGAGGTTATAATTTCATTGTACAGGTCACTGGTTAGGCCACATTTGGAATATTGTGTTCAGTCTTTGGCTCCTTACCTTAGGAAAGACATTGAATTGTTGGAAATGGTTCAGAGAAGGGTTACTAGAATGGTGCCTGGGATGGAGGGTTTGTCATATGAGGAGAGGCTGAAATCTCTCAAATTGTTTTATCTTGAAAAAAGAAGAGCTGGGGGGTCTGATTGAGATGTTTAAAATTGTAAAGGGAATTGATAGTGTTGATGCATCATCCTTTTTCATATTTAACAGTGAGAATAGTAGGACTAGGGGGACACAAATATTAATTTTGGCAAGGTAGGAGTCATCTTCAGCTAAGACAGTTTTATTTTCATAACAGGATTGTTGGCCTTTGGAATGGGTTGCCTTCAGATGTTGTAGAGGCAGTAAATTTAAGTGAGTGTAAGAAAAAGCTTGATATTTTATGAATGATAAGGGGCGGCTTTAAGATTTAAAAAAAAAATTAGAATTTAGTTTAGAGGATGGAACAGCCAAGATGGACCAATAGGTCCCATGTTATCCCAAAACATTGTGTTATATGTTAAGTTAGTATACCTTATGAAAAACAATATAATTATTGTCAAGTTATTATTCAGTACTGTGTTAAAAACAATATAATTACTGTCAAGTTATTATTCAGTACTGTGTTAAAAACAATATAATTACTGTCAAGTTATTATTCAGTACTGTGTTAAAAACAATATAATTACTGTCAAGTTATTATTCATTACTGTGTTAAAAACAATATAATTACTGTCAAGTTATTATTCAGTACTGTGTTAAAACAATATAATTACTGTCAAGTTATTATTCAGTACTATGTTAAAAACAATATAATTACTGTCAAGTTATTATTCAGTACTTTATTAAAAACTAAACAAGAAAATATGAAGTAGAGCTGGGCAATTAATTAATATAATTGATTGCTTATGATGGAGATTATATTAATTAGTGTCATGTAAACTAATGAATTCATAAAAATGACACTAAATCAATTGTCACAAAATATTCAACTACTCAAAATTAGTGTTTTTCAACAATTGATTAATCAAAGTTACAATTATATTGATTTTCATGAAAATAAGCACAATATTAAAATTAGTGTTTTCAGTTATTCCAGTAATTGGTTAATCAAAATTACTATCATGTCAATTTTTAAGAAAGTCATCAATTAATTGAAATTAATTTCTGATTTTTACTGTTTTCAATTAGTCCAACTTAGGGGTGAAATACTAAAAATAAAAGAAGTAGAGATACTCAGCTGGGTGAAGTGGACCTGTTTTTGAAAAAGAAAAACAATCTATCTATAAACATAGGAAATGATAAAGCAGCTCAAATAAGTCCCAGTACTAATACCACCTTAAAACATAACCAGTAGAATTTCACTCCTGGTCCAACTATCCAAGTAATCAAAATATTGCTATTAGGTTTTTTTTTTGTTAAACACAAAGCTACATAATTGTCCATCTGTGACGTGCTAAGTTTTGGCCTTATAAGGGTTTTTGATTTGGGAGAAGGATGTTCTTGATTTGAGGGTCTTTAGTTTTTTTTTTTTATCATTACCATCAAACCTGCTCACGCTGTATTTCTTAGAGCAAAGCTATTAAGGCTATCTGCCACTGTCCCTAATTTTCAATTGCTAACTGGAGAGAAACAACTGTCTGACAGCATTTGCCTCCAACTTGCTTGCTTATGTATGGACCATGGTTCAAGGAACACTTTAGTAACGCCTTCAGCATGGCCTCAGTCTTTGGGACCGACCTAATAACCATTTTGTGCTTATTATAGTTTTAATGCTATAACTTTTAAATTAGTAAGTGAATGTTAACAAAATTTGGCACATTATCAGTAAACACTATAATGCTTTCATATGCAAAATATAATTTTTTTTATTAACTCTTAAGGTTTGTAAAGCAATGTTTTTCTCGTGCCTTTTTTTTCTTTTTTGCATGTTGGCTGTATAACATGC